TTAGTACGAAGCACTTACAGATGATTAGGACCTCCGCTTTTAGTTTTTTCCGCGCACATCTACATTCTCATCCATTCATTCAATCTGTCACTGTTCTTTCTCCTCTCTCTTCCCTCTCGCTCTCTCTTTCTCTCTTCCATTCTCACTCTTCTCTCTTTCTTCTCATCCTCTCCCTTCCTCCCTTCCCACCACTGCCCACTCTCCCCTCTCTCCGTCTCCAATCCCTTCAGTCATTCCTCTCCCTCCCTCCTCTCCATACAACCACTCCCATCATCTCCTATTATCCCTTCTCCTCCCTTCATTTCATACATTCCTCCCAAATATGCTGCCACATTTCCTCTCCATTATCACATCCCTACACCCTTCTGTTTTTCGCCCATCTAATTTTCCCTCATTCCATTTCCCAGTCTAAACTTTACAATCCTCTGCCACCTACTCTCCCCCATCCTTGCTTCAGATATTCCAGAACTTTATCGCTTTTTATCTATTTATACAATCGATTGAACTTTGATTCCCTTATCTTTTCCCTTTTCCCATCTTTCCTTTCTTTGCAATTCCTTATCCCTTTTCATTAAACTCCAAATCTATCCCTTCCTTCTCTACTCTTTCTCAATTCACTCTTCTTTCCATAAAGTATCTTTTTCTTTCCTTCTCCAACTTCGAGAGGCCTATTTCTTTCCTCCCCCTTTCCTTAATCTCCTCCTAATACCTCCTTACCAATTCACTTCTTCTTCCTTCCTCCAATCTTTCGAAATCTAGCATTCTTCTTCCAGCCCTTTCCCTCAACTTTCCTCTCTGTATCTCTTCCCTCACTATATCCTGATACACTCCAATCTACCCTAGCACTCACTTCAGATATCTTTTCTGCAATCTCTCCACTACCTCCCTCTCTTTCCATCCCCAAATCTCTACTCCATACCCCACTACCGATCATAACAAAGTATCAAACAATCAAAACCTCCTTCTCTAATCTCTAAATCTTTTTTTGCCAGTCCTTCATAATATAATAATTATATTAGAGATAGAAGTAAAAAAAGAAAGTAATTACTTATATATCTAATTTGTAATGAATTTGATATCTTTGTAAGTGATTAATTTTCCAAAAAATTCCAAAACTTTTAAAAGTAGATATTCACTTATTAAGCCTCATATTACTTACTCGTATCAGTTCATAACACTTTGCAGAAAGTATTCAATTATAAGACTTTAAATTCACCGTAATGATCTACTCTGTTTTAGTTCTGTCAAGTATGAAATTGAATTCATTGTAACGATCTGTGCCCTTTTATACCTACGTTCACATAACCATTGTATGCAATTAAAACTATCAGCAAATATGTAAATCTTTTTCGCTTAGCATCACATTAAGAAGGCTTATGCAATGATTTTTTTTATACATACGTAAATAAAACTGTGCGTCAATAAATTTATTATCTGCATGTCAATGTAATTGCGGATTTTGCGACACGAAGTATAAATATTGATCGATAAAATATATTTATAACATTGCTATAGCTGCTCTACGGTCAAAATTAAATGAACGATATTTTATAAAAATAATTATTTCTTTATTTGTAACTTGTTTCTAAATGTCTAAAGCGCTTCGTATGTTTTTTGATACCTCATCAAAAATATTTGAAACGTTTAACTAAATCTATCATCATTTCACTATCACTATTATTACTATTCTTTTTATTATTATTATAAA